AGCAATAAAGTAGCATGGGCTGAGAATGCACTGGAAAAAAAAATCTTTTCCTTTCCCGATCCTACCATCTATTAGCTTTTACTGAAACATGGCTTCCCCCTGATGACATAGCCTCCCTGGCCACCATTACCAGGATTGACTGCATCTTCACTCTTTCTCTTTGGCTCACTAGTTGAGAAAGGGAATTGGAATACTCCTTGTTCCCCATTGCCCCCTTCCAGTTTCACCCCCTACTTCCTTCATTCAGTAACCTCTCTTTCCATGAAGTTCATGCTACTCATATCTATCACCCAATCAAAATCATGATCCTGCCATCACTCACAAATGTACCAAACCCTATATTCAAGAATTCTGAAATCCCCTTAACTGACCTTAATCTATTGACTTTTCACCTCTCCCTCAGCCTTCTCTTACAAAATCCTACTCTGTCCACATCCTTCAATCCCTTCAGTGCTCTTCCATGCCATCTGTTCTGCCACTCTCTCCTCTTCTCCCCATAGTGACCTTGGTGAACCAATTCATTTCTATACTGGCCTCTTCTCTTGAATCCCTAGCATCCTCATCCTATTATCTATTAAATCCAGCCAAGCCTCAACCTTAGATCACTCCCACCACTCCTGCTTTTGCTACACACGTGCTGCTGAAGAAAGGTGGGAAAAATAATGCAACCCGTTCTGACTGGTCCTACTACAAATTCATGCTATACAACTTCAGCTAGGCCCTTACTACTGCTAGGCAATCATTCTATGCCTCCCTTATCAACTCCCACTCTACATAGTAGCTCTTCTAAACCTTCTCTCCTCAAACTTCCCATGGCTCCCAACTCTCTTAGCTGAGAACCGTGCCTCATATTTTACAGGAAAAATTGAGGTCCTCATTTCCTATCACTTGGGTGTCTTCTGCCACTTTCTCCCCCTTCATTCCTGCCTCTCATGGTGAAGTGGCTTTATTTCTTACCAAGGCTAACCCCACTTTGTTGAAGCCATCCCATTTCATACCATCTCCTCCAACAGATTGTCCCCTTTCATCCCCACTCTTTTACTTATTTTCAATCTCTCCTTTTCTACAAGCTCATTTCCTACTGCCTAAAAACAAGCCCATGTCTCCTCTATCTTGAAAAATCCCTCACTTGATCTCTGCTAACTTTTGTCCTTTCTCTTCTGCAGTTTTGTGGCTTTACTCCTTGAAAAGGTCCTCTACAATAGGTGCTTCCACTTTCTCTACTCTACCTTTCTCCTTAACCCCTTACTACCCACCTTGCAACCTTATCATTCCACTGAAACTACTCTCCAACGCAACTAATGATCTCTCAGTTGCCAAATCCAATGACGGTTTCTCTATCCTCATTGATGCTTTCTTCTCTAGGTTTTCAGGATACTACTGTCTGCTGGTCCTCTTTTTACCTCTGGTTGCTCATTCTCTGTCTCCGTCTCCTTTGTTGAATCCTCTTCTAGATTATGTCCTCTACCCTTGGGTGTCCCTCAGGTTCTGTTCTGGGCCCTCTTCTGTTCTCTCTCTACACTCTTTCACTTGGTGATCTCATCAGCTCCCATGGATTGAATTATCATCTTTATGCTGATGATTCTCAAATCTATCTTTCCCCAAACTCTCTGTGGACCTCAACTGACGTAGGGTAGGTAAAGCATTTTACAAACATGAATCATGTGCTGAACAAGTGACATGCGGCCGTTGTAGATGAGAAGGTAAACTTAGTCCCAAATGCCATCTAAGTTCATGTAGTCATCTGTAAACTGACTCACATCTTCCCTACAACCTCAGCTTTTAACATTTTTTAAACTGACAGTATCTACATCACAACTCACTGAATAATATTCTACGTAGACATACCTTGTAGTTCACAATGTACACTCTCAAACGTGATCTCATTTGATCCTCACAATAGCCCTGAGGTAGGGGTGCACATAGATTACTGTGCCCGCTTTACAATAAGAAGCCCAATGACTTGCCCATGGTAACATAACTAATAATTATGGAATTTGGAACTGGAAGGAGCTGTAGTCCAGTCTAGGGGTCACATATGGCCCTCTAGGTCCTCAAGTGTGGCCCTTTGATTGAATCCAAACCTCACAGGCCAAATCTTAATAAATGGATCTTTTTTTCTGTAAAACTTGGGACTCAGTCAAAAGGCCACATGTGGCCTCAAGGCCACAGGTTCCCCACCCCTGGTCTAGTCTAATTTAGGCAATTCAGTCCCCTTTCCACAAAAACAGAAATCTTCAGAAACAATTTAATTCATCTTGAGATTTCATAAGGGTGAAAAGTGGATGTTTCATTTACAAAACGGTCCACGGCTTTAGGACTTACTGGCCTGAGTGGAAGGTTAACAGGCAGGACAAGATTTATGGGAAGACTTGAGGGAACTAGATAATGGTGGGGAGGCTCAGATTCGGGGCCCAGCTGTTCTAGAACATCCTTCCCCAATGGAGGTAGCAATCTTTTAAGCTAGAGATATTTAACCTAGGGTCTATGAACTTAAAAAAAATTGATAATTGTGTATTAATATAGTAAGTTTCCTTTGTAATCCTGTGTATTTTACTTTTTAAAAATATAATTCTGAGGTCTGCTGGCTCTGCCAGACTGCTAAAGGGATCCGTGGCATTAAAGTTAAGAACGCTTGTTTTAAGACATGACCCACTAAAGCTTTACTCCTTGAAAAGGTCCTCTACAATAGGTGCTTCCACTTTCTCTACCTTTCTCCTTAACCCCTTACTACCCACCTTGCAACCTTATCATTCCACTGAAACTACTCTCCAACGTAACTAGTGATCTCTCAGTTGCCAATCCAATGACCGTTTCTCTATCCTCATTCTCATTGATGCTTTCTTCTCTAGGTTTTCAGGATACTACTGTCTGCTGGTCCTCTTTTTACCTCTCTGATTGCTCATTCTCTAAAGCAACCCCACTCCTACCATCCTACTTCTTGCCACATCCCCACACATCCGGAACCAAGGACAACCTGATGAGGTAAAATCTAAATCTAGTGAAGGATTCAATACAACAAAGCAACATCCTGGTTCTGGCCAATGGCCCCTGAAACTGCTGTTGCTGGCCTAATTAGAGCAAATCTTAACAAATAATGGTGAATGATTAAGACTTTCTCCAGGTCACTCTTTACCATATACCTATGTACAGTTTGCACTGGAGAAGAGGGATTGAGGGGTGGAAATAATCTTTAGTTCTTTGGTTCTACCATCAAGCAGCAGTTGGCCTTCCAGATCTCTCCCACCTCTCACAAATTACTCATTGATTCTCAGTCAAGCTACCTCAGACATCTAACCTCCCTGCCACCTCCCCCCCCAAAGACACATGTACTCTGGGGAAGCAAGGATGTGTCAATGTAGATGTCAAAGACACTTTCCTCCATTCTCTACTGGATTCAAAATACTTATTTTGAAAATACTTTACCACAAAGAAACTATCAGCTATTTTATGGCTGTTGTAGGAAGGCAAGGCAATTTATCAATTCAACTATTTGGGGAGGTAGGTGGGTAGAGTGTCAGGCCTGGAGTCAGGAAGACTCATCTTCCTGAGTTCAAAAGTGGCCTCAGACACATACTAGTTGTGTAACCCTGGACAAATCACTTAATCCTGTTTGCCTCAGTTTCCTCATCTGTAAAATGAGCTGGAGAAGGAAATAGTAAACCACTCCAGTATCTTTGCCAAGAAAACCCCAAATGGGGTCACGAAGGGTCAGACACGACTGAACCACAAGAAAATTCAAGTATTTGACAGACAACTTGGCTTAATGGAGATGGCCAGTGTTGAAGAAAACCTAGGTTTAAGTTCCATCTCTCAAAGTAATGGTTGTGTCACTTCTTCATTGCCTGAGCCAACTCTAAATATTTGAGCACATTAGCATTGAATCCTTGGGTAAGTGCCTTAATTTCCATTTCCTGTACACCTACCTGATAGGGTTGTAGTGATGATCAATTGAGATAACACGCATAAAGTGCTTTGCAAACCTTAAAAGAGCTGCAGAAATGTTAGCTATGGGTGGAGAACATCTCTTCACTGGGAGTTCCTTAAGCCGATGAAATCATCAGGTCTGTCCAAAAAAAAAGTATCCAGATGCTGCCCAGAGGGAGTGCCGGGCCTAGAACCTGGTTAGGGTGGATGGAGGCTTGCGGTCAGGAAAGCCAGGGTTCAAATTCCGTTTCAGAGACTTACTCAGCTATGAGACTCTGGGCAAGTCACTTAATCTCTGTGTCCCTCAGGCAACTAATTCCCTACAAATTTATCTAGTAAGTCATAGATGGGTTGTACTCCTCACTGGTGGAAAGAGTTCCCACACAAGGAAGCCCCTACAATGATGGAAATTTATAATAAACTGTCCATTACACGGAAATCCATGTAGTTTTTGACATTTTCTTGGGCCATAGACCCCTGTCCAAGTATTTGTGGTGAAGCCTATGGACTCCTTGGAATAATATATTTAAAGGCATAAAATAAGAGACATAGAATTACAAAGGAAACTAAAGGTTAGTGAAAATAAAGAAGTAATGTAATATTGTTTTTCTCCATCCAAGCTCATGGGCTCCCCGTAATTTATCAACAGAACCAGGTTAAAACCCCCAATAGTTTTCTTTATTTCTTCTTTTTCTTTTTTTTGGAGGCAATCAGGGCTAAGTGAATTGTCCAGGGTCACACAGCTAGTTGTCTGAGGCCAAATTTTAACTCAGGTCCTCCTGACTCCACGGCTCTATCTACTGTGCCTCCTAGCTGCTCCTCCGCAATGTAGTTTCAACATAATAGGTTAGCTGTGTTGCAGGAAGTGAAATTCCTTCTAGGAGACCACCCTGGGGGGTGGAAGGGGTGGGAGTGGGAATTGAGTTTAAGTAGATTAAAAAAAAAAAAGAGCTGAGACCAAGCCTAGCATTTGTATTTGGATAAAATCTCATTCACCTTTTTAGAACATCAAGACAAAGCCCTGCCTGTTGCATCAGGGGCTTCTGCAACAGACACAGTTAAATACAACCACCTATTTTGCATGTGTTTTATTGTTTAAAAACTTTAACATCATGAAAGACCTTATCAGCAGATCCCTGTGAGAACCCAAACTGGAAACATGCAGAATGAAGTCTGTATTTGCTCTTGGTGGCAAGCTACAGTTAACAATGGAAACAGCTCAACAATCTGGGCTTGCAACTCCATGGACTTACCTCTGAGAGTGGATTTTGTTATGTGTGAGGTTGGTTCCGCTGGCTATGATAGACAGATGTGGTGAAGGACACGGTAGAAAGACTTACATTGCTGATTAAAAGCACAGCAGTTGAGGAACGACCGGCTCTTTCCCCCTCCCCTGCAATTGGTGCCAAAAAAGTCAAGGCACCAAAACAAAAGGTGCATAAAACTCAAATCTCTAAGAGTTCAGTCCTTTCAAATGAAATTGACCTCCCTAGAATAGCTTGTATCTGGTTTTTTTAAACTGTATTTTCTCTGTGTGTGTGTGTGGGTGTTATTAAGTGTAACAAATGTATGGCACCTTTAAAAATCATATAAACCTTGCAAAGTTTTTAGGGCTGTTGTCTGAAGGGAAATATAAAAATCCATTGGGCTCCATAAGACTAAAATATGAACCCTTCCTCCCTGCCCCGCCCCCCATGAAAAAAGCAATTGTTACAAAAATATAAAAATATATACTAACTTCTCCACTGTTAAACCTTTTCTTTCAAAGAGAGCATTATTTAGTTCTAGCCACCTTTTCTAAGCAGCCAATCACAAGTCTCCAGTTACTTTTGTACATATTGCTATCACATACTGCATGTGTGAGTGCAAAAATTCTTAAGCAGGAAAAAACCTTCAACCCTTCCCTTTTGGTATCTATGAACTTGGCTACTTTCTTCAGAATGAATCTGATGCTTGTGAATAATGATAGATTAAAAGTCCTGAATCAAATTTCCCATTGGTTCTCCTCTCCTTGCCCTACCCCCCCTACCCAGTCCATGGCAACACGAAGAGGAAGAGTACTTCTTTGAGGAAGGCTCACTTCTTCAGTCTACTCCCTGACAGTCCCTCTTGGGGGGAGTAAATGATGAGTATCTGAGCTTCCATCCCAGGTTTCTGTAACTATACATCGAAGAGGGTTAGGATTAATAAAAGATAGCTGTGTCGTATGAGAACAAGACAGGGGACAGAGATCACCTACGTGAAGGCCCCTCTCCTAGCTGATTAAGCCTTTCTTGGCTGCCCAACATGAATACCAAGATGACTGAGGGGGGCTGGGAATCAGAGGAGGAAAGTGAGGGTAGATTCCTTGCCCACCAATCCCTAACTCTGGATCCTGTCTACACCTGTCTCCTGGGAGGTATCAGATCTGTGTTTTGCCTCAAAATTTCTCTCCATCCTAATGAGCTCCATCTGGAAATCTCCCAAAGTAAGGGAAAGCAGGTTATATTGTGTGAAGCACTGTCTAAAGGGAATAGACTTAGCCTCATTAATTTAAAAGTCAGACAAGGGAGAAAACAACAACCACCTTGTAATCATTTGGCCTGGGTTTTTTTTTGGGGGGGGAGGGCAAAGTTACAAGGCCTTCGATGCTCAAGACTTTAGCCAATAAAAAGGTGTTGAAGAGCCTACCAAACACAGCCTCATAACGGCATTCTTCTGGGTCCTATTTCCAGTTGTGCAGAGAAGGACGGACAAGTCAGTCTTTTACATCCCAAGACAATTTGCAAAGGAGAAGTGAAGGGGAGATCCTTTTGGAACAGTAAAATCACAGGGTGGCAGAATAGATATTCCCTTAAACCCATGAACTTTCCCAGTAGGAGTGCCAGGGTGAGTGTAACAAGAGTCCCTTAATCCATCACCCCAAAATCCCTAAGAAAAGCCTCCTATAGAACAGGGGTAATGGTCATCTGTGTCCAACAAGACATTTCAGGTTGCCTGAGGCTCTCCATGGGGACAAAATCTGTATCTCATTTTTCCCAAGTGGTATTCTGCTGAGTCAGAGCTCCACGAATCCATCTCCTTCCTCGTCAGCCCCACCCATCCACAAGCCTTCTTAGCCCCCAACCATTTACAGGGTGGATCAGTCAGGCCTTTTCACTTTCTAAACTCCATTGCCATACTTAAGGTAAAGGTTCTCAACAATTTCAACATCCTCAATCTAATCTGTGAATACCCCTCCTCTCAAATGACTGGATTCTTATAAGGATAAGTGTTTTATTTTATAGATAACATCAAGCATAGCCTCAAACCTCAGCTACCCAATACTTACTGAAGTTAAGACATTCTCTGGCACCTGCTTTTTGCCCTAGACCTGAAACCACTTAAAACAACATAACTTTTGTTTTGTTTTGTTTTGTTTTACAAACTCAAATAGGATTTTCAAAAGAAACCAGAGGGCACTGGTTGGCCACGTCTGCTGATCAAGTTCAAGCTCTGTGGATATCAGGGCCTACAGGGCTTTCTGAATTGTGACCAATTCCCAACTTGATTGGAAACAGAAACATGGAAGAGAAGTATTCTCATCATCAAGGCACAAAAAGTCTCCTATGACAAAACCAAAGATGGACATCACAAAGTCCCCCAGGCAAGATGCTTGGCAGAGTTGTTGGGGAAGAATTGTTTCTGGCCGACCAGCTTCCTGAGCCAAGGCTTCTGTGGACCCAGGCAAACTAGAAACACATCGCCAGGTCTCTGTTCCTCGGGCAATGCTGCCTTGGGCCTCAGGCGTACTTCTCAAGAAACTTTATGTGGAAGTCCTTCACCTTCTCCAGGACAATCTTTAGCTTCTCTACAGGAGGGAGGATGGTCATTCTAGAAAGAAAGAAAAGATTATAATAATTCCTGGTTATCCACAACCTTATAGATGTGAAGCTGGAAGGGACATTAGAGGCCATCTGGTCCAATGCCCTCACTTTATAGGGGAGGCTGGGACACAAAAACCCTTAGAGTGAAGGAGGGAAAGTCCTGAAAACTTTTGTCTGTCTTGCTAGTTGCTACATAGAGAGTAGTTTTATGTCCATGATCTCAACAGATCACAGATTAGAAAACAAATTGAGAAAATTCATAGGATTTCAGTGCTAAAAGAACCCTGAGATATTACCTAGTCTCACTCTTTCATTTTACAGATGAGGAAACTGAGGTTAAGGGGGGGGGAGAAGTGGTTTACCCCAAGCCATACAATGAATTAGTAATATAGCTGAGCTCAGGTCTTCTGACTTCCAAGCTTGGTCACAGGAAAGTCAAGTGACTCAACCCAAATTAAAAAGGAAATTACAGACATCCTTTTAGAAAACCAAACACATATGCTCTATGGGCCAAGAGTTCAGCAGAATTTCTGGCACTAGTTGACAAACCCACACTTAAAAATACGTGCTGATTGGCACTCATTTATAAGCAATGCTGCTCCAAAGCCAAACTGCTTCCTCCAGGAAGCCCCCTCTAAACAAACATATCCCACCCTGACCGCTTTTATATTCACTGTCTTTCTCAAAGCCTACAGTTGGTTTATGCTGTATTCAGCCCACAATCCTTGGACTCTAAAATCCAAACACCTGAGTTAGGGCTGCAGCTGCCACAAATTTTCAGTCTCATGAGCAGAAAGGGACCTTAACAGTTATCTAGCCAACCCATACCTGAAAAGAAACCCCCCTTTTACAAAATCCCTGACAAACGGTCACATTCAGTGATGGGAAACCTACTACTTCCTGAAATTCTTCAGTCCACTGTGGGCAGTTATAAATATCTGGAAGTTTTTCCTTCTATTGAGCCAAACATCCTCAGAAATCCAGTTGCATATTTGTGTATCAACAGAAGTAAGATACATATATATATTTTAAACTAGAAGCTATGCAAATGGAAGATGGTATTATTGTTAAGTTAAGAGAATTTCCCATTTCCATAAAGGCAGCACTAGCACCAGGCCTGGAATCAGGAAGACCTGAGTTCAAATGTGGACTCAGACACTCACTATCTGGGCAAGTCACTTAACCTCTGTTTGCCTCAGTTTCCTCATCTGTAAAAAGGGGATAGTAATAGCAACTACCTCCCAAGGTTGTTGTGAGGATCAAATGAGATAATAATTGTAAAGCATTTAGCATAGTGCCTAGCACAGAGTAAGTGCTATATAAAATGTTAGCTATTAGCAATTATTAACAGAGGGCAAAAATAAAGCAAATCACCATCCAGAAGAGATTGAAAATAATCACATTTTTGACATTTCCAGGTATAGGACATACATTCTTCTGACATGAAAAAAAATGGCAGGGGGGTAGAAGATGGTTTTTCTCCAAAGAAAGACCTCTCCCTGGCCTATAACTTCAGCTCATCTTGGGGCTATACATGAAACCACAGTTGCACCCCAAATTCAGAACCATCCCACCAACCACGGAGAGCATGGAGTACCTTAAGTGGTAAGTCCCTTCCCTTTGGCCAAAGCCACTGCCAGGTACCACACAGATTCCAGTTTCTTCCAGAAGCTTCATACAGTAAAACATGTCTGGGGCCATCTTATGGGCCTGAGGAGATGGAGCAGAGTTAATGAGTCATTATTTGCTTTTTACATACACATCAAACCCAAAGGGATACTTCCCTACTCTTACAAGATCGTAGAATTAAAGGTGGAAGGGACCTCAAGAATCCCTTCATCTAATCCAACCCCATCACTTGGCAGGTGAGCAAAGTGAGGACCAGGGAGGGACAGTGATTTGTTTAAAGTCACATGACTGGCGAGTGGCAGAGGGAAGATTCAAACTGAGGGTCCCTGGACTCCAAACCCAGCACACTTCTTTTTGTACCATGCTGTTCCTTCCCACACGGGCAAGTGTTAGGTCCTGGGAAGAGGTGTGGTGCAGGGAGTAAACAGAGCAGAAGAAAACATACGTATATACTCTGTCTCCCAAAGGCATCAATGGGACGCAGTGAGTTACAGTGGAAAGGGCCTTAGGCTGAGTGCCAAGTTCGAATCACAGGTCTGTCGTTAAATATTTGTGTGACATTGGGGCAATTCACTCCTCTCTGGACCTCAGTTTCTTCATCTGTAAAATGAAGGGCTGGGATTAGATTAACCAGTGATCCATGAACTTAAATTTTAAAATAACTGAACTTCGATATAATAGTCTCCTTTTAATCCAAAGCATTTTACTTTGGCCTAGATTAGATTGTCTCTCAGGTTCCTTCCAGCTCTAAACCCATGTTCTTGTGATTTGTCTTCTTCAAGCCTCAGTTTCTCCATCTATAAAAGAGGGAAAGTTAACACATGTCCTACGGACTTCACAAGATTATGGTGAGGCTCAAATGTGGTAACTAACGGGTGGCAAGGTGCCCTGAAAAGTAAACAACACTACCCACAAGTGTACCGTGCTCTCCTATGGCAAGAACTTAGCTAAAGATCTTGAGGTTTCTATGGGGAGGAGATTCTCCATGAAAACAGCAGCCACACATCTGAAAACAGCTCACATGAGGGGCAGCTAGGTGGCACAGCAGATACAACTCTGGTCTTGGGAGTTGGGATGACCTGAGTCCATGTCCGGCCTCACACACTTGACACTAGCTGTGTGACCCCGGGTAAGTCACTTAACCCTGATAGCCTCACCAAAAAACAAAACAAAACAAAAAACACGATCATGTGGGTCGTTAACTCCAACAAGAATTTTCTCCACAGATGAGAAAGTCTGTCAGCTTCGCCGCTGATAAAGAAAATTATCCAGCCCCCAAACATGCCAACACTTTACCACTAGACAACTGAATCACGCCACAAAATAAATGTTATTAACTTGGACTTTGTGGTCATTTGAACAGCTGTGGACTTCTGCATTAATCTAGAAAGAAAACGTCTGTAACCTTGACTCGAACAACAATGCAAGAGGAATGTTTAAATTATAAAAGAAGCAAACCATTTTCAAGTTCTGACAAGCACATCAGAGACATTTATAGGTTCATAATTCCTATCTAGTCACTGAAGTACCACGTGGTCCTCAACTTTCTAAGCCTAGTTCAAGTTACATAAATGTGCATTTCTTTAGAAAAGTTAGCCTGGGAATTGGAGAATTTGAATATCTGAAATCCACAGGTGATCTCCAACAGAATTTTGCCCAATCTCAAACTTCCTCTCTCAGCAAAATTCCCACCAGGACCGTCAAGGGCCCCTATTAACTAGCTGAATTTCATCTCTTTGCCCTTTCCCAAAGGAATTTGTAGTGGAAAAAGCACTGGATTTAGAATCAGAGGACCCAGACTGGAATTCCAATTCAAGATCACTGTGTGTGATCTTAGGTAAGTAATTTGACCTCTCTGGGCCTTGGTTTTTAACTCTTCTGAAATGCTTAAGTATGTTTCCATTATGTATCTACTCTTCTTTCTGGCTTTTTTATTTCTGCCTATTATGGTACTACTTTTTCACTCTCTCTGTATCTGTGGTTTTGTTTTATTTCAATTATGTCCTATTTTTTTTTTAGTTAGCAAAAAAACTGCCCCCCCATTCTATACAAAAGGAAAATAAAACAAATTTCCCCATCTCAGTCACATAAATGTGATACATACACACACACACACACCACACACACACGTTTGTGTGTAGATATATATATATATATACATTTGTCTACTTATTTTTTTAATTTATTTACTGGGGCAGCTACATGATGTAGTAGACACATCACTGGTCCTGGAATCAGGAAGACCTGAGTTTAAATCCAGCCTCAAATACTTACTAAACTGTGTAATCCTGAGTAAGTCATTTAACCCTGTTTGCCTCCATTTCCTCATCTGTCAAATGAGATGGAGAAGGAAATGGTAAACTACTCCAGTTACCTTTGCCAAGAAAACCCCAAATGGGGTCACAGAGAGTCAGACATGACTAAAATGATTCAACATATGTGTGTTTGTACGTAGGTGTATCTATAGATGTATGTATATATGTATATGTCCTCTGGAATTATGGTTAGCAATTACAATGATCAGAGTTCCTAATTCTTCCAAGATATTTGTCTTTACCACACTGTTGTCACTGTATAAATTGTTCTGGTACTGTTCACATCACTACACATCAGTTCATATGAATCTTCCCAGGTTTCTCTGAAAACACCCTTTGGGGTTATCTTTGACTTCCTTTCCCTTCTTTCCTCAGAACAGACCCTGTTGATTCTGTCTCTGCAGCATCTCTTGAATCTGTCCCCTCCTCTAAATTCTCCCCTCTGTCATCCTAGTACATGCCCTCATTACCAGTAACTTGGACTATACTGCAATAATTTCATTATAGTTTCCTTAACTCTACTCTGACATATCTTGTACTTACCCACACACTGCCCTACCCCCAACGCCAGCCTTCTCTACCTTTCTGAAACAGCTACCAAAATAATCCTTCCTATCTATAGATCTGACCATACCTTCCTCTGCCCCAAAAGAGTCAGCGGCTCCTTTCTACTTAATAACTTAAGTTCAAATTGCTTTGGTCTAGTACTCAAGCCCCTCTAGAAATTCACCTTTCCAGCTTTTGTTCATATTATATGATTCCTCTCCATACACGCAGCACCCTAGCCAAACTAGACTACTCTCTGCTATGAACACATGCTGTACTCTCCTGTCACTACGTGAGAATGTACTCTCCTTGAGGGCAGGGGTTGTTTTTGCTTTTCCTCTGTATCCCCAGTGCTTTGCACTTTTATCTCCTTACTAGAAGGCAAGTGCCGTGACAACAGCAACTGCTAACACAGTATTCTACACACAGTGGGTGTTGATTCAATTCAGCAAGGATTTACTGCTCACCCACAGTGCCAAGCATTGTGCTCAGTGCTACATGTATGGTTTATTTCACAATCAGTCTCTGAGAGTTAAGTGGAAAATCAACCTTCTCCACTCCTAGTAAGAGCACCAACCAGAAATTCACGCTAAATTTTAGTTTACTTTCATTTGGATTTGCCAAAATGAGATGGCAAAGTCCTGCACAGAGCCCTGGTTCTGGAAGCTAGCGCCTTCTACTGCAGAGCAAGTATAAGCCACTGACCTGATTCTTAATCCAGGGGCTGAGCCAGCAGAGGAACCCAGAGACCAAGAATAAATACCCTTTTTTCAGGGGTAAAACACACACCCCTGCCTAATAGTAGCACCTCTTCCAGCTACCACTGTAATAATAATAGCAGCTAACATGTATATAGTGCTTACTATGTGCCTAGCACTGTGCTAAGCACTTTACAATCATTCTCACATTTGATCCTCACAATGCTGGGAGGTAGGTGCTATTATTATCCTCATTTTACAGATGAGGAAACTGAGGCAAACAGGGGGTAAGTGATTTGCCCAGAGTCACACAGCTAGTGTCTGAGGCAGGATTTGAATTCAGATAAGAGTCAGAGCAGGAAGGACCAACACACCTTAGCTGTCTCAATTGCCTTCGTTGGGATGAAGATCCTGGGAAAGGCATACATTGCTCCTTGTAAGGGATTACAGTGAATTCCTGGCACTTGGTTAAACAAATCTTCTGTAAGCTTAGCTTTTTTTGCAAGATTGCTCAGGACAAACTCCTTCTCCTGTGGGAAAACAAGAGAGAAAAGAGAAGAGGTTAAGTTCACTTTGGGCAGTCATAGAATGACTAGTCTCTGGAAATGGTTCTTTCTGTTTGAATAATCCCAATAAAAGTCTGGAAGGGGCCTTTTCCTCACAAGGACATAAAGGTTATCATTCTACTGTAAGGTCACCTGAGGTTTAAGAGCTAGAAAGACTTTTAAGATCATCTAGTTATATCACCATCGCCATTTTACAAAGAAGGAAAATAGGCAGGGGAAGGACCCAAGAAGCTAACTGGAACAAGCCCAGAGACACCTAGTGGAGAACCCAAACCAGAATGCATTTGCCATATGTTACTTTCAAAGAAAGTTATTTTCTGGGCTGTCCAGCTCTAGCAGGAATCAAAGAGAAGGCGAGTATGAGGTTTGGGAGGTGATGAAACCATGCCATAGGGCTGTATGGCAGTGACAAGAGCACTAGATTTGGGCGTCCTAGAGACTTCAGTCTGATTCGTGGCTCTGTTCAAGGTCTACTTGACTTTGGGGCAAAGTCACTTCCCCTCTTTAGGCCTCAGTTTCCTTATTTGTAAACAAGGGGACCAGTAGAGGATATCTGAGGCTCCTTCTAGCTCCAAGTCTTCTGATTTCATGGGTCCCGGACTTGCAGGGCTGCAGTGCTGGCCAGGTGGGTTGCTGTCAAGCTTCCTTCCTCACCATCCCATGGCTTCACTCCACTCACAAAGAGGAGTTATTTCTTCATCCTGCTCCACTCAGGATGCCCACATCTTGCTCCTAGCTCTGGAATTTGGGCAGAAAAATCGTGTTTCTCTCCTCCTCTCAGATCTGCAGTTGAAAATGAAGCTACCGGTTTTTTTTTTTCTGGAACAGCCCATGATGTCCCTAGGAAAGCTTCCTGGTTCTCAGTATAGCAACCAGACTCCAGACTCAAAGGGTAAAGCCAGGGATACAGGGTTCCCATCACAGGAAAGCACTGATGCCACTGCAAGTGGATTTGAATGGACTTTGCTCTGAGATTTGACCTGTTCTAGCGTGTAATAGTTCCAAAATCTTTTTCTGTTATTTCTGACTCATAAGAACCACATGAAGGAGACTGCCTCTGCTTTGGAAATGCCCCCACTCCCTGGGCTTTTTCTAGGAAATTCCATACCCTGGCTAGCTCTCCCAATTTGATTCACTAACCAATCACAAACCAATCCTGAACATCTCCTTACTTTTGACAACAGAGAATGAGAAACCAACGGTACATGCCTACAAATCTGCCTTTTTATAAAACCCATGATTTCCTGTTGCCTTGTCCAGGTGCCCTGTAGTGAAGGCAATGGGAAACTGGACATCCTAGGATGTCCACATAGACTAGGAAACCTTGGCAAAACCAGATGTGCCCAATCTGTGGGATGAGTCTCTCAACAACCATCACTGATCCCAGAATCCACAGAATTTGAGTTGGAAAGGACCCCCTCCATGGCCATCCGGTACAAGCCACACACTGTAACACTGCAAATGTTCCATCCAGCATCCAAGACCTCCGAGGAGGGGGAGCCTAGCAGCTCATTCTAATTGTTAGGAAGGATCCTTCCTACATGTGGAGTCTTTTTGGGATGTCCGTCCACTGCCTCCTGGTTTTGCCTCAAAAAGAACAAAACTAATCCTTCCTCTATATGCCAGTCCTTCAAATATGAACAAGTGAATGTGTCTCGCCTGAATCTTCTACAGACTAAACATCCCAGTTCCCTCTGCTGACAAGTGAAATATCAGAAGACCTGGTTTTGAGTCCCAACTCTCACTGTGTGGCTTTGGACAAAGTACTCCATCTCTCATCCCCTGTTTCCTTATATAAAAAACAACAAAAAGACCTACTGGCTCTGCTTACCTGTCTCACGGGGTTTCTGTGAAGCCTAAAAGAGAACAAGTCCCTAAAAGTGCTTTATGACTTGATATAACCCAGGATCTGTGAACTTATTTTTTCAATACAAGTCACTCTCTTTCGGCTTCCAACTGCTCTAGGAATCAAGAATAGGATTGTACGAGGTTTGGGAGATGGTGGAAACCATGCCCTGTGACTGTGCAGGGTAGTGGGAAGAGCACTAGACTTGGGTACAGTGGAGAGTAATGCTGCCCTAACCCTGACTAGGAAGAGGAGGAGTACAGAACAGCACTGAATCCTTCACATACAAGGTAAGCTCATCCTTAGGAGGCATGTCTGCAAGAAGCCTGATCAGGGATGGGGGGGAGGGGTCAATGCTCTATTACCATAGAACAGGATTTTTCCTCTCTGAAGCTAACCAGTCTATACAAAGATGAAAGCCATGATGGCCTTTCTTCCCCAAGATGGAAGCTGTGACCATGGCCTCTCTTGCTCTAACCAAAGCAAATACAATGGAGTTTGGGAACAGGACTGGATTTGGGGGGGTCACAGGATCACAGATCTGGAACTGCAATCAACCTTAAGAGGCCATCAAGTCTAATCCCCTCATTTTACAGATGAGGAGACTGAGGCAGAGAGAGGTTAAGCCACCTGTCCAGGGTCACAGAGCTTATGAGTGTCTTGAGGCAGAATTTGAACTCAGGTCTTACTTCAAGTCTACCACTCTCCCTAGCTGGCCCAGTCCCAAAAGAAGGGATTCTCAGCTCTACTACTTACTGCCTTGTATGACTCTGGGTAAATCACTTCCTCTCTCTGGTCCCTGGTTTCCTTACCTACACAATGAAGATCTCTAAGACACCTAACAGTCCCAGTCTAGGATCCTACTGGCCTAGCAGGACACGGTCAGGACCCCAGAGGTGACGGGGGACCATCTATACTCACCCTATTGAACTGCTCAAAAGATTCCTCTCCCGGCACAGGGGGGTTCACGACAATGTCCATGGCTGCCTGTCCCGACACCGGGGGACAGAGCCGCACAGAGAGCATCTTGACAAGCTGTCCCTTAATCTCTGGATGTAAGTTGATCACCTCCATGTAGCCCCCTCGGTAGCCACACCTAGCCAGGGAAGGAGAAGAGAGCAAAAGTTAGGGGAAAGCCTTGATGCACTGAAATCAAATTTAAGTGTAACCTAGACACCCACCTCCACATTTATTATTCTAATAAATCAATCAACAAACATTTAGAAGGAGTGCCAGGCACTGGGGATAATTTCATGGAATTTACATTTGAATTGGGGATACACCAAGTGCATAGTAAGTATACGCAGAATAAACACAAGGGAGTTTGGGAGAAAGGGCAGTAGCAGCTGCGGGGGGGGGGAAGAGGAAGGAAAGGTTTCACAGAGGAAGAGGTGTCTGAGCTGCTCCTTAAGGGAATGGAGGGGTTCCCCAGGGCAGAGGCAAGGAGGGAGTGAATTCTAAGCATAGGCACAGCCAGGGCAAAGGCATGAAGGCCAGAGATGGGAGTCACGTGTGGCAAGAGCTGAGAGAAGGTCAGTATGGCTGGTTTGCAGAGTATGGGAGGGAAATTGTACATATTGAGGCTTGAAAGATCAGCTGGAGCTAGACTGTGAAGGGTTTAAAAGCTAAAGAGGAGCTCAGAGTTTACCGCAGAGGCAATAGGGGGCCGCCAGTTTCCTGAGTAGGAGCGTGATATGGTAAGAGCCAAGCTAAAGTTAAATCCCTTGGGCAGCAGTGTGGAGGATGGACTGAAGGAGAGGAGAAACCTGAGACAGGGTTACTGCAAAAATCGAGGCAAGGAGTGATGAGGGCCCAACTATTGAGTACAGAGAAGGCTCCAGATGCTGTCCAGGTAATTTTTAGGTTCTAAAAACCATCTTCCAAGAGATATCCTAAGTCAGTCCACATCTGGCCCAGTCTCCTAATTTTCCTCGATCTCTAGCCACAGGCCTGAAAGACAACTAATGTGCAGAGGGCAGACCCTGAGACTCAGAATGAACGGGGACAGATCCTACGATGGTGCATCAACTAACCTTTCTGGAACAGGAGATGATGTGGCCGTCCCTGAAAGATTTTTTTAGTAAAAAGTGTTGAAACTGCCCAGAAGAGCCCATTCTTGAGCATCCTAATTATTTGAGGTTTATTATGATAATAAACTGACTGTAACAGGCTACAATTTGTAACAATGAAGCTGACATTGCTCATTAGTTTTAAATTACATAAGGTAGGTCAGAAGGAGCTTCCTCCCTGTAGGTCTCTTATCCACTGGTTTTTAATATTAATCAAATCAATAATACTTTTTTTTTGGAGGGAGGGGAATGTTGAGGGGAAGGAAACTTAAAATCACATGGAAGTTTGGTGTAGACACAACTGTTAATACAAGCAGCCCATGGGGCTTGGAACAGTTGGGTGTCCTCTTCTTCCCTCCACCTCATATGTCACAAGCTCCTCCCCATCATATTCTATCCACCACGACCCAGCTGCTGTTCCCAACTGGCAAGCCTGAAAAACAGCCAAAGCTATCTCTGACTGCCAGGGGTTCTCAAGTGCTTGCTAAGACAGCCTTGTGGCTAGAACACAACCTTCTACTGAACTACTTTGTATTTATTCTCTTTATATAGGGTGTCCCAAAAATCTGAGTGCAGTTTTAAGCCTAAATGACTCCTTGTATTTATTCTATCTCTCCTGTTAGAATGTAAGCTCCCTGAGACTATCCAAACTGGCTTCCTCTCTGTTCCTCACTCATGACACTCAATTCCTCCATCCCATGTTTGCACTGGCCATCCCTCGTGCCTGGAATGCACTCCCTTCTTGCCTCACAGCATCCTTCTCCTCCTTTATGATGCAGCTCAGGCACCATCTTCTGCATGACATCTTTCCTGATCCCCCAGCCGCTGCTGCCCTCCCTCCCAAACCTACCTGGGATTTTGCATGTGTGTGTATTAATTTTTGAACAATACTAGCATTTACATAGTACTTCGAGGTTTGCAAAGCACTTAATATAAGCTGTCTCATTTGATTCTCAAAACAACACTGTGAGGTCGGTGCTAGTACAAGGGCATTTTGTTAAGGGGATTTGTTCTGCGAAGTCTGGATTCAGTCAAAGAGCTGCATTTGAGGACCTAGAGGGCTACATGTGGCTAGTATTATGGCCATTTTATAGATGAAGAAACCGAGACTGAGAAAGGTTAAGTGACTTGCCTATGGTCATGGAGCTCATAAGTGTCTGAGGCAGGATCTGAACTCGGGACTGCCTGACTTCAAATTCAGCACTCTACTCAGAATGACCCTCATACCATCCAGACAAGTGGCCATGAAGCTTCCGTCAAACCTGCTGCTTTCCAAGGTGTTCTTCCCCATCTTTGGAAAGCAAGCTGTGCTAGGAAGTTTTCCTTTCAATGGAGTTCCAGCATTCCCTGTTCTGTCCCCCAGGGTCAAGCAGAACACATCTAAGTCTTCTGCCAACTCGATCTAAGCTTTCTCTTCTCCAAAGCTAAGCACCCCCATTTTCTTCAACCCATCCTCAGTAGTCCACTTACTATCTTGGTTAGTCTCCTTTGCCTACACTCCAGGAACAGTCCAGGAGTCAGAAGCACCACTGGCTAAAAGGATTCACAGCTGCCATGGGTCTGGGTCTTCCTTCCCATGTCCTGGCTTCTTTGAAGTGTGGCTTAATTGTGCTAGGGCACAATTAAGGTTTCTATGTAGGAATGCTCCAATATACAATCTCATTTCAGCCCAATCTACTTCTGGGAGTAAACACAGAATGGCTGGTCTGGCCCCTCAACCTGGCTGCTCTGCAGTTTCTATACATAATGGCCCTAAAGAGTCATCAGCAGCCTCTGCCCTGTCTTGGGAGAGTGGAGCCCTTCAGCAGGGACACATAAGGATTCTTGGCTCCACAGCTCACTGTTCTTAGGGTCATCATCTCTGCTGCTGGGTCTTGCCTGATCCTGGACCCCCAAATTTCTAGTAACTGGATCCCCCATTTCCATATCTTGAATCCCTGCTCTATAAATCAGTCCTTCCAGGACCTAGGTCCTCATTCCATTCTCCAGTCCCAGGTCTTGGGTTCCCACTATGGCCTGCCAGAACTTGTGTCAACTAAACCTGCTCGAGCCTTTGTCTACTGTGCCCTGCACATAGCAAGTGCTTAATAACTCTTCAGTTGAATTCATCTATTGCCTGTGACAAGACACTCTAAGATGAGGCCTAGTACTCACTAGCCCAGAGATCCCCATCCCCACGTCGCCCTAGGCTAGGCAGTTTCCAGCTAACATGTTCCACTCACATGGGTATGTCTAGTCTCCAGAATCTACTAAAGCTATTCCTCAGTTATAACAGTATGGAATTTTAGCCTCATGTACATGTGTTTTTTTTCCCCTCTTACATCTATAATTTAAGAGGTAATACATGGCACTCCAACTCCCACCTTAGGGCCGTAGGCTCTTGATAGCTTTGTCATATATACCCAACGGGGCTTCCATGATGCACTCTGACCATCTTCCTGCCATGCTGCCATCCACATACCTGTCTCTCCTCCTGCTTTCTACTTCTTGCTCTGGGAACAGTAATCAAAACAACACTACCATTCCTAAAAAGTACGTCAGATAGTTTTCTATAACTCCTAGCCTCTACTTTACTGGGACTGTCTTCCTTCATTAGAATATAAGTACCTTGAGGGCATGTATTGTCTTGCTTTTTACATTTGTATCTCAAGAGCTCAGAACAAAATCAGGCATATAGTAAGCTTTTAATAAATTCTTTTTCATTCATTCATTCATTAATTAGTGAAGGGAAAGAACTTCACTAAAAGCCTCCTTTGATGGCTCACAAAATTGTGGAGGGGATTTTGGATTCTCAATGGCTTCATCAGCAAAGAATGAGCTCTGGTACCTACTTATTGTTGCTATTGTTCAGTCATTTCAGTCGGTTTCAACTCTTGGTGACCCCATTTGGCATTTTCTTGGCAGAGATATCGGAGTGCTTTGCCATTTCCTTCTCCAGCTCATTTTACAGATGAGGAAGCTGAGGCACACGGGATTAAATGACTTGCCCAGGGTCACACAGCTGGTAAGTTTTGAGGCCAAATTTAAACTCAGGAAGGTAAGTCTTCCTTACTCCAGGCTTGGTACTCTATCCACTGCGTCACCTAGCTGCCCTGGTATCTACTACCAAACTGGAAATGCCTTAAATACCAGACTAGCAACGACCTATAGGTCTGTTGTCTGAGGACAAGCCTATGTAAGTTTGGGGAGGCTCATTATCAGGTCAAAAAAACTCCAAAAGACTATGGTATTGCAATGTGCATTAATGAAGGGAGGGCTCATACTGACGGAATCACAGATCTGTAAAGTAAACACAACTTTGTGAATTATCAGGAGCACAAGATTAGTTGATTTGTCCTATGTTCAAGTGGGTCAACCCTAGGACAGTACAGGTGAATTAGTTTCTCCACATTCTTGAACAAACAGTGAAAAAAAGCCAATGTTGACCTACTCGCCCATGTAGCCTTTGGAGGTGGAATGGAAGGATGCAAGCTCCACGTTGCTTGAGTACTCTGGGCCCATCTCATAGAGAACCTTCTTGAAGGAATGAAATTGGCAGTCCTTGGGATATACGTTGTCCTGGTACACCTGAGAAATCAACCAAGGGGAAGCAAAGTTACGTCTGTGTGTGAAACGAGCAGAAGCAGAACAACTTATATACAATAACAACACAACTCCACAGACAAACAACTTCTGAAAGATGTAAGAACGCCGGTCAGCTGGAACCATGATTCCAGACGACCCAAGATGAAACATGCCGCCCACCTCCTGACGGAGCTGGCGGACTTCAGGCGCAGACCGAGGCCTATCTTTTGGACGTGGCCAGCTGGGGAATTGGTTTTGCTTAGTTATGCATATTTGCTATAAGGCCTTTATTTTTTTTCTTTCTTCAAAGGGAGATGGAAGGCGGCGAGGGGGAGGGAAAAGCTAGACATGCGTTAATTGAAAAAATAAAATATGTCTGAAAATGGAAACACCACAGGATCACAGCTCTGAAGCTGAAAGGGACTTCAGGCACCCTCTTGATCCAGTTCCCTCATTTTACAGATAAGAGAACTGAGTCCCTGGAATGTTAAAGGGCTTGCCCATGGTGACACCACTGAGCTCTGTGGAGGCTGTGTCCTGGTAAGGCAGGTTGGGGCAGCATTGCTGAGGTGGGAACTGCCGCATGGCCAAGTGGGAGGCCTTCATAACAGACTGTGAGTCCTGCAGAGGCCAAGTCAAGTGTCATAAAGACACAACATAGAGAACATGAGTGGAATAACCAAATCTAATGTTTACAGAACAGCCGTAACCTTCTAAGGCAAGAGCAGGTCTAAGCTAATGGAAGTACTTCTAGGGTTAAATTGAGTAGGACCCAGAAAAACCTGGGGGGAAGGGAAGAAGACTTGAGATACCTATTTCTTTGGCTACACAAGGGGCTTTGGGAACACACTGAAAGAACCACAGAAGCCAGGCTTCTTTACCACTTTATCTAACAACCCAGCAATTCATTAAGTTTCTGGTGTCCAGAAAAGACACTGGAACGTGGTGGTCAAAGGACCTGGGTTCCAATCCTGGCTCTGACACAAGCTGTGTGACCCGACAAGCCACTTAACTTAAATTTGAGCCAGAAACTCTCCTTGGGTTATACCTGTAACCACTGGGTTATCCATTGTGACCACAGACAGCTCCCTCACAGGGTGGTTGTGAGGAAAGGACTTTTACTGAGGGCCATAAAAGTGCTAGCAGAAATATGAGTTCTGAGCCTCAGTTTCCTTATCCGTGAAACTTTCCAGGGTAAGAAGCTCTGCCCTCCCTATTTCATAATAGTAACACAAAATAATGGATGTAAGATACTCTGAAAGCTGGAAAGTACTGTACACACATAATTAATTTACGTGGCTCCATCCACACCCAGGACCCGTCTGAGAAACAGAAGTGTCCAGGCTTCTCTTACCTCGTCAGCCAAGAGGAAGAGCTTCTCTTCCCAGGCAAAGTGAATCACTTCTTCAATGCATTTTCTGCTCTGGACCTGACCTGGAAGGACCCCACCCAGCAAAAGAAAACAAAACCAAAAATCGATTTAAATTTGTTTACACTGGCACCAGGCCCAGCTGTCCGCCCAGAACCTCTGTACACTCTTCCAGTTACGACAACGTCCTGGATCTACCCTCCTCGCTCCAGTCACTACCACGCCAGAGTCACTGTGGTTTGCCTGAGATGATGTGCCTTGGCGGCCCCCAAAAAGCAGCCTTTCTTAACCTGCCGGAGCACAGCTCCCCACAGCAGACAGAGAAGAGTAAATGACTAGTTAGACTGTCACATACTTTTTTGGAATAGGGAGAAATGTCACAAACAGCAGGAGGGGCATAATTTGAGGGAAATGAATAAATTAACTCAGCTATTTTCTTGTCAAGCCTCACCAAGTCATATGGATCCCCTTATGCCCGGGCAACTACAAACCAACCCATAATCAGGAACAAATTATTACAGCCCCCTGATCACTGAGTTTGGGCATCAATCCAGGAGTCTCTTCTGAAGGTTTTAAGTCCTTATTCGAACCTAATCTGCCTATAGTATTACCACAGGGGAGTGTTCCAACTCTCAAAGAAGGTGCTCAGAAGTCACATGGGTCTGTTGTCTGCCTTTCATGATTAAACCTATTTCATTCATTCATTCACTCACTCACTCACTCACTCATTCATTCAATTGTTTGGTGAGGTGACTGGAATTAAGTGACTTGCCCAGGGGCACACAGCTAGCAAGTGTTAAGTGATTAAGGCAGGATTTGAACTCAGGTCCTCCTGACTGCAAGAGGTGCTCTATCCACTGCCTGCCCCTGACCTAAGCTATTTATCAAGTATAACTTTTAAAGTTTGAAAAGCCCAGGCTTTCCACAACCCATCAATATTTATTTTGTTGCAATTCAAGTTGCTTGGGTTGCTATGAAGAATCAGAGCTCCTACTGAGACACTACAGATGGGGTGTGGGGGTGATAGTTTCTGAGGCCTGCTTAAGGGCATAGAAAGGTGGTCTTTGGAGCCGCTGTTTAAAGAAAAAAAAGCTACAGAAACATGTGGCCAGCATATCCTTCCTCCTAAAGGACAGGTGATCTTAATTTTAAATGTAAACCAAGTGAACAACCCATTTCTACATCTAGCCTGTTTTTCTCAGTTTCCTCAACTGCAAAATGGGGATGATAGTAATAATAAAACATAGAGACCAAATATTTGTCAAGTCCTTAGCACAGTACTTGGCACACAGTAATGGCTATGTAAATATTAGATATCATTAATATTCCCAGAATCTCTTTACAAACTCATTTGATTCCCCTCCACCCCCCCCTTTCAGGTAGCTGTGGATAAGGAAAGTATTTTCCCAAGTAAATTGGTTAAAAGCAACTGCATCATAGCCTTCTGTGGTAGCAAAGAACTGGAAACCAAGTGGGTGTCCATCAACAGAAAAATGACTGAATGAACTGCCGCACACAAAAGATAGGGGATTTATTGTGCCATAAGAAATGACCAATGGGAGGAAGTCAGAGAAACACAGTAAGACGAGTACGGACTGACTGGGGAGAAAGAACAATAAACAAAAAGGCCATAAAACGAAACAGAAGTTATTTTTACAACCAATCAGCTTTGCTTTAACAGCTTTTGTTATCGACAGTAGTGACAAAACAAAGCCCCACCAAAAAGGAAAAACACACCAAACCCCAAAACTTCAGGATGATAAAATAGCTGCGCAGATCAGGAATCCAAATGGTGTTTTCACCTGGGTGGAGCAACAATTTATGCCCCAGAGAAAAAAGATTCCAGAATGAACTCAGACCTGTTTCAGCAGCAGCACATTTTATCTCCAAAGGGAAAGGGAACAGTACTCATTTAATGGATTTTTCAGGCTGAATAAAAGGAATGTGAAGCTAGCAGCCAGAACAGACTCAGGCAGTGTTGTGTATAACACTGTTGTTTAAAACAACAACAAAAGAAAAATATATACTATTCATGTTGCTTTTCAACCCATGAAAAATCTGATTCTTTTCCAAATCCAAAGCCCTCCTCTACCCCCTCTCACCCATACAGTTAAATACTTTTGTAATACTGAGAGGGGAAATACGTTACACAAAATCCACCAACATAGCAAACACATCAGACTGGTTATGCAACATTCTGCACCTGTAGTCCCCCACCTCTCTGGAAAGGAGACAAGTCACATGGCATTTCTTATTCAGGTCTCAAAACACACATTAGGTTCTGGCCCAAGGAGGGGACACATACCTTGGCTCATAAAAAACAAATAAGAATTTGAAAATGGCAGGAAAAGCATGTAAATCTTTTAAACAGCCCAATGAGATTATGCCTTAATAGATAAGTTTTTCTGCTTAAATTGTTTCCAATTAGTTAACTGTTTCTAAAGGCAGACAAATCTCAAAACCACAACCTTTTTCTGAAAAACATCCCTATCGATTTGCTCATAGTGACTTAATGGGCATACAGAAGCCCCATCAAACGAAGGTATCCCCGCTGCTGGTTCCCACACGTACTAATGGTCTATCTGACCCTGGAGAAGTCATCTGGCCTAAGTGAATTTAAGTCCCACCTAACTTCCAACCTTCTATAGGAAGTCTTCCCCAACCCCTCTTAATTCCAAGTGCCTTCCTTCTGTTACTTATTTCCTAGTCATCCTGTATATGGCTTGCTTTATACACGTATTTGTTTGCATATTGTGTGTCCCCTTCCCATCAGATTGCAAGCTCTTTGAGCGTAGGGACTGCCTTTTGCTTCTTTTTGTATCCCCAAAGCTTAGCACAGTGCCTGGCACATAACAGGTGACTAATTAATGTTAATGTTAATGTTTTTTTTTAAAGCATCTTCATCTGCAAAATGAATCCAATACTTCGACCTTGGACAAGTCACTTGACCCCAGTGCCTAGCAAAAACAAACAAACACACAAAAAGAATCCAGTATCTATACCACATATCATATGGGCTTGTTTGAGGAAAAGGCTTTCAGTAAACTACGAAAGGCTCTAGAAATGTGCACTGTCAGTCAGGATGGATTTTTAAAAATCACTTAATCTCTCTATACCACAGATTCCTCATCGGTAAAACGGGAATAATATTTGTACTGCCTACCTTACAGGGTCAAACACTGGATCTGGAGTCAGAGTACTTGGATTTAAAACTCAATTCTCCTACTTACTCAGTTATATGGTCCTGGAAAAGACATCGAGACCCTCTGAATCTTAGTTTGCTCAAGTGTAAAACGGGATGTGAGGGGCAACAAGGTATAGTATCTAGTACATAGCTGTTACTGACTTTATGCACAGTAGGTGCTTAAAGTATAAACTGCATTTTTTAAAATTATAAAATGACATATAATATAAGCTTTTGGGGGGGGGAGCATAGACCTATGACTTCATTTCTGAGAGAAAATTTTCTCTACCGATGAAGATTGCCTCAGCCCCTGAGAGATCTTGGGACTTAGTATGTTTCAGAGACAGCACTTGAAGCCAGGTAGGTCATCTTGACTCTGAGGTTAGCTCTGCATGATTCATAACCTCACACTGCCTTTTGAGGCTGTGAGTTATTATAATTATTATCCTACCCACTCCAAACTCCCTTTTGGTAAAATAAAAGGAACCTCCGGCAGCATCAGGATTCTAGGCCTATTATACTGTTCTGCTGTTGGACTCTGAGAAGCTTGGTAGCATCACAAAGGACTATTAGTGAATTAAATACCACCTTCTGCTAAAACCTCCACATGAAACAATGGAAAGGCCTTCATAACTTGCTGTTCGTGGCTGCTGGGCCTTCCTGATTCTACTTCATACTCCCCCCTTATCTGTTCTGTTTTAGACACCTCCATTAATCCTGAGACCCTCATCTGATTTCCCCCTTCCCTCAAAGAGTATAATAAACATGTTTAACTTCACATAGCACTTAGACTGGGTTGAATACTTCCTCTATTATGCCCATAAGAAGTAAAGCAATGCTTTGATTAAGCTGAAAATCACTGCTGTCTGGGTGATTTCTTCAACACCATTTACCTGTAGGGTTCCCAGGATTGATGATGCAGAGGACTTTGGGGTTACAGTATTCCTTGGCTTCAGTCACTGCACGTCGGAGCTCATTTACATCCAGAGCCCAGCAGTTTTCTTCATCCAGGTAATAGTTCACCTGGATGGCATCCAGCTCCGAAATGACAGCTGAGTACAGAGGATACTGGGGGATGGGGATCAACACTCCAGTCCGGGACTTTCCTCCACCAGACACCAGAATCTTTAGAATTGTCTGCAAGGGGAAAAGGGAGGGGGAAGTTGAATTAGGCTTTTTTTTTTTTATCACCCACCTAGTCCTGGTTACCTTTCCTACACAAGGCCTAGGACTGTACACAGCTCACAGATACTAGAGATAAAAGGGTCTTTGGAAATCATCTAATTCAACCCCATCCAGGAAACCCTTAGGGCTTGGGTTGACCTTTTCCCTTTCAGAATCCATGAAAAGACAAATGAAAAAAGCCTTGGCTTCAGAGCAAAAGTGGCAAATTTAGTCCCTGTGGAAGGAAAAACCTCCTCTTAATAGCAATAGCATTTATAAAGTGCTTCAAGGCTTGCAAAATACATTGTCTACATCATTCCATTTGATTCGGAAACAGAATGTGAAGTTGTCTTCCTGATTCCAGCACTCTACCTCTGCACTCCCTTAACTGCCTCCCTCAGGAATTAACTGTCTTGGGATGAGGAGGGCTCCCCCTCAGTGGAAGCGTGGATCAGAGTGAAAGTTGTGAGCTATATTGTAGAAGGGATTCTTTATGAGGGATAGGCGGACACAAATAACCTTTTATGTCCCTTCCAACTCTGTGGCTCTGTAAGACTTGGATTCAAGTCCTACCTTTGCTGTTTGCCACCTGGAAGACCTTGGATAAATTACTTCACCTCTCTGGCCCCATCTATAAAATGAGAGGGGAGGGGACACAACTGGATAATTTCTAAGGTTCCTTTCCACTTAAAACCTTATGATCTTAAATGGAAAAATAACCCTGAGCCCTCAACCCCACAGCACTACCATCCTAATCCACCAGAGGGAGCTACAACCTCTGTTTTCCAAGCCAGAGAGCAACGTGGGCAATGTGGGCGTCAGACACGTGCTGAAACCATGTGGGAGAAAAATCCCTAATTCAGGGTCTTCCAGGGGGTAGATAATTCATTCAGTTGAGGAGCCAAAACCACATTTCTAGTGGAACAACCTCCCACTCCGTACACAGGCCTGTGTTCCCTTTTGTTCCTTCCCACATTGACTGTGTAGAGCTGGAACTTCAACCATGAACACAATCTATCAAAGGGCCATGCGTGACACCAGGTGACAGGAGACAGCTGTCTTCCTTGTCACTGCCTACTCAAAACATCTCAGATGAAACAGGATATTCCTGACAGCACAGAGTTAAAAAATAAGCCTCAACCAGGAGCCGTGGGTTCTTGTTCCGGCTTGGGTACACACACACTTGCTTTGTCATCACTGCAAGGCCTCTCTGGGCCTCCCTCACTATAACATTTCTTTTCTTTCCCTAATGTTCTTCAGAGAATTTCAGGAAATCTGGATTCTAAGGCCCTGGGGTTCTGCCATATACCTGCTCTGTGACCCACGGGCAAGTGATGAGGAAATAGAGTCAGCCAGAGGTTAAGTGACTCGCCCAGGATCACAGAGCTAATAAATGAAAATGAGCTCAGGTCTTCCTGACTGCAGGATGGCTCTATGGACTGTGCCACCAACTGCCTAGAGGCAGCTAGGTATACAGAATGAAACAGGTCAGAGGCTTGAACCTCCATCTAAAATGCCAGGCGCATTATCTTAGCTGGGGGCTCCAGGCTTCTAGAGAATTTTGTTGACAATCATTTTTTTATAAATATACAAAGTAGGTTAGGGCAGCTAGGTGGCAGTGGAGAATCATCTTCCTGTGACTCTGGGCATGTCACTTAACCCTGTTTGTCTCAGTTTCCTCATCTGTAAAATGACCTGGAAAAGGAAATGGCAACCACTCTAGTGTCTTTACCAAGAAAACCCCAAATGGGGTCATGAAGAGTCGGTCATGACTGCGAACGACTGAACAATAATAAAAAGTAGGTTAAACTTGAGTGGGGGTTTTCAAACAATCCCAGGTTCAAATGAGCCAGGGAATCACTGACAATCTGGTGAAAGAGGATGGGAAGTGGTGAGGTACAGTGTCTTAAACATGGTTTTTCTTCTGTGAGGGTGGTGCCTAAGGAGTAGGTTCTACCCTGCCCTCTGTCCAGCCCCCTCAAGAGAAAGCTGTGTCTCTGTAATTCCAAAGATAGTGACTAGAGGAGAAAGTATTTCCCCCTTGTGTTTTCACTTTCCACCTCTTATCCTATCTTGTCCAATGCCCCCACCAAAGAGTTACCAGAGGACCAAGAGCTGGAATATCTTTGGAAACCAAGTGCCACCCTCTTCGTTCACAGATGAGAAAAGTGAAGTACAGAGAGACTGGGTGACTTGCCAGAGTCTCACAAAAGCAGGTCACTTCTGTCTTTCCATCCTCAGCACTTAGCCCAGTGCCTGGACCACAAGAGGTAGGTACTTAATAAAGGCTTGCTTATTTATTGCTGGGACTGGGTAATCTCTTAAAGTCATTCCATCTCTAACATTCTGTGGCCTGTGGTCCTATTCTCTCCCCTGGGGACCTGGTTCGGGCATGCACTTTAAAGATGCATGCAGGTAGCAATTTATAAAGCAGGAAAAAAAATAAGACCAGACCAAGTAAAGTGATATCAGTGTGTTTTTACTTACTGTCTAAGTAATAATCACTGACATTCATAGAGTGCTCTAAAGTTTGCAAAATGAAAATAAGTATATCCCACATTTAGAACCTCCTGAACTAGTTTTCTCATTCATTTATAGAATGAGGGAGTTGGACTAGGAAACCTCTGTGATTTATGAGATCATTTGATTCCCTGAGGTAGGTACTATTATCACTCCCATTTTACAGATAAGGAAATTGAGGGCCAGAAAAGTGAATTAAGGGACTTACCTAGTGATGGGGTTGGGATCTGGACCCCAGAAAGGAAAAACCCTGGACTTTCCCACATGGCCAAAGGCCATAACCCCAACAACTGGCCTTTCATTGTGGCTACAATCTCCCAATTCTGTTACCCTTAACCTAGCCTAGCCCTTCGTCGTCTCACCTCTCTATTACTCCTGGCCACTTCCCACCCTTAATCCTAGCTAGGCTCCATTCTCCCTAGGTTACGTCCAGGTGTCTGGCATTCTATTACCTCACAGTCCTGCCCCCCTACCCCTCAAGACTGCTTGGCCACTCCTAGATCCCTCCCACAGTCTTTCTGTATATGAGGTCCATCTTGTCTCCATAAAGGTGCTCAGATTCTTATAATCCAGACAATAGCTCACTGACGTTCAGACTCCTTAAGAGTCTGCCCAATGTGGTAGATGTTCTAATAAACCTTGTCTGTTGCTGAAAGAAGGCTTGGGTCAAATTCTTTCTGGCAGGACCCACATATGTCCCAGCACCCCTAAACCTCAAAATTCAGGTTATACATCTAGTTAAGTGTCTGAGTGAAGACTTGAACCCAGTTCTTCCTGAGTCTAAGGCCAGCCCTCTTTTTCACTGCACTATGCTGTCTTCAAACTCTTCATTCTCATTTGCAAGGATGCTGGGACAGGTTGTGCAGGTGGGCAGATAGTTTCTTTTCTCTCCCATCAGCCTCCCTTGTTCCCTCTCTCCCTCCTCCCAACACACAGTCAGAAACAAGGCCAGCACCTACAGAAATGCCGTCGCTAGCGCCAGTCGTCAGGTAAATGTTGTCTGGGTCTGCAGGCACACCGCCATCTCTCCTCTCGATGTACGCTGCCACGTCTTCTCGGATGCAGTTGACACCCTGGCTGGCACTGTAAGCCCCTGGAAGACAGCCACCAAATGCTATGACACAGGCACTCCCACCACCCTGAAAGCACCGCATGTCTGGGCCGCTACAAACCAAACCTCACTGGTCGAATGGAAAAAGCAACGGTCTAGTGGTCAAGGCCACAAGTTCTAGTCTTGACCCTCCCCCACTCACCCAACTGGCTGAGTGACCCCGGGTAAATCTCTGGCCTTAATATTTTCACCTACAAATTTGGGGATAATAATACCTGCCACATTTACCTCCCGGGATAAAAAGACAATATAAGTTGCCCTATATTGTTTTCTAATCAATTGAATATAGACACATGAGAACATAGAGACACAAAGACAGAAGTTAAACAGTCCTTACCCTCACGGAATTTACATTCTACTGGGGTGGGGGGAGGAGGGGGAACCCAATGACTGGGATTTTATTGGCCTGACCCCTGGGAGTCGGATTGGCATGGTACAAAATCTGTAAATTCAAACATAAGGAATCGAACCTGCCAGTAAGCAGCCTGCACAAAGAGTGTCAAGTCTGCCCTCTGATACTGGCTGTGTGAATCTAAGCAAGTCACTTAACCTCAGAGGAACAAGTCAGATCTGCATTAAGAGAGGGTGCTCCTTCCACTGGGTAATCCCCCATAACAAAGAAATCACAGATTCAGGACAAAATCATTTTTTTGACAGCATTGTCACATGACAGGTACTAGTCTCATCACCTCCACTAATCCATAAGCTCCTCGAAGGCAGATTTTATATTTTCTCCTATTCCTATAACCCCCCAGCATCTACAACACCTGACAAGTAGTACAGTGGTCAGTGCAGACATTGACTGGTTGGGTCAGTTCTGTTTATTAGCAATAGGAGAGGAAGAAAGGTTGTTTCTAACCTTTGTCCTAAAGAGTTTACATGCCCTTAGATAGCCAGACATGTTAGGAGTTTCTATGGTATTAAAAGATAGCACTCATGTGGTCCAAAGTGTTCTTCTATCACACAGTAAGTAATATATTATATTACTTTATCAGCATGATATAGAAAAGGCAGAACAGCGCACCGGGGAAGGAACAGGTATTGGAGCCAGGAAGGTCTAGATCCAAGCCCCTCCTTTTGACATATACAAGCAGAACTGTGGGCAAGTCAAGCAACCCCCACCCCCCAGCCCCAGCTGTGAGTTAAATCTAAAGAACTCAGCGAGACTGTCTGTCCACTGGGAGCTCCTCACTATCTTTTTTTTTTAATGATTAATTTATTTTTAGTTTTCAACATTCACTTCCATAAGATTTTGAGTTTTACATTTTCTCCCCCTCCTACTCCTCCTCCCTCCCCCAAAAAAGGATATAGGCTCTACTTATACATTCACATTAAGCATATTTTCCCATTAGTCATGATGTAAAGAACAATTAGAACTTATGGGAGGAACCATGAGAATGAAGCAATAAAACAAAACAACAAAGGAAAAGGAGAGCAAATAGTATGCTTCTGCCTGTATTTCTTTCTCTGGATGTGGATAGTATTTTCCATCATGAGTCTTTTGGAGTTGTCTTAGAGCCTTGCATTGCCGAGAAGAGAGAAGTCAATCAAAGTCACTCATTGCACAGTGTGGCTGTTACTGTGTACAATGTTCTCCTAGTTCTGCACATTTCACTCAGCATAGGTACATGCAGATCTCCCCAGGTTTTTTTTGAAGTCTGCCTGCTCAACATTTCTTATAACACAATAGTATTCGATTACATTCATATACCACAACCTGTTCAGCCATTCCCCAATTAATGGGCATCCCCTCAATTTCCAATTCTTTGCCACCATAAAAAGAGCTGCTATAAATATTTTTGTACATGTGGGTCCTTTTCCCATTATTATCTCTTTGGGATATAGACCTAGAAGTGATATTGCTGGGTCAAAGGGTATAGCCCTCTGGGCATAGTTCCAAACTGCTCTCCAAAATGGTTGGATTATTTCACAACTCCACCAACAATGCACTCATGTTCCAATTTTCCCACATCTTCTCCAACGTTAATCATTTTCCTGTTTTGTCACTTTAGCCAATCTAATAGGTGTGATATGGTACCTCAGACTCATTTTGATTCGCATTTCTCTAAGCAATAGTGATTTAGAGTATTTTTTCATAAGACTGTAGACAGCTTTAGTTTCTTCCTCTGAAAACTACCTATTTATATCCTTTGGAGATTTATTTATCAATTGGAGAATGACTTGTATTCTTATAAATTTGGCTCAGTTCTCTATATATTTTAGAAATGAGGCCTTTATCGGAGACACTGATTGTAAAAATTCTTTCCCAGTTTTGTGTTTCCCTCCAATCAAAATTACACATTTTGTATTTCACAATGTTCTCTATCTCTTGTTTGGTCATAAATTCTTCCTTTCTCCATAGATGTGAAAGGCAAACTATTCCTTGCTCTTCTAGTTTGTTTTATAGTGTCAGTCTTTATATCTAACTCATGAACCCATTTTGACTTTATCTTGGTATAGGTGTTAAGATGTTGATCTATGCCCAGTTTCTGCCATACATTTTTCCAGTTTTCTAAGCAGTTTTTGTTAAACAGTGATTTCTTATCCCTGAAACTGGAATCTCTGTATTTATGAAATAGTGGTTTACTATAGTCATTGACTACTGTGTCTTGCATACTTAACCTATTCCACTGATCTACCACTCTATTTCTTAGCCAGTACCAAATAGTTTTGATGATTGCTGCTTTATAATTTAAGATCTGGTACAGCTCGGCCACCTTCCCTTGCATTTCTTTTCATTAGTTCCCTTGATATACTGGACTTTTTATTCTTCCAGATGAATTTTGTTACTGTTTTTTTCTAGCTCTATAAAATAATTTTTTGGTAGTTTGGTATGGCACTGAATAAGTAAATTAATTTAGGTAGAAGTGTCGTTTTTATTATGTCAGCCTGGCCTCCCATGAGCAACTGATATTTTTCCAATTATTTAGATCTGACTTTATTTGTGTGAAAAGTGTTTTATACTTGTGTTCATATAGTTCCTGGTTTTGTTTTGGCAGGCAGACTTCAGCCCCTCCCCCTATCAAAGGAATCACAGGTCTAGTGCCTAGCTCTTATCTTCTTAACCTTATAATGTGACATATTTCTAGAAGTGCTTTCTTCACAACTCTCCGAAGTAGGTAGTATATGCACAGTTATCCCTATTTGCAAAATAGGGAAGAACAAAGAGGCCTACAGAAAATGAAGTAACTTGATCATCTGCAAAGCCCTTTCCAGTTCTATAACCGATGATGCTATAACTTGCTCCCAATCACAAAGATGGTAAGGACCACAGGCAGGACTAGAACCAAGGCCTTCAGATTATAAATAAGGCCAATGCTTTTTTTCGAGTGGCAACTTGAAAAAAAATGGAGAGAAGTCCAAGACACCAGTCTTACTTAAGAAGCCTGGGTTCAAATCCTGCCTCTGGTACTTACTGGCCATGCAAGCAGGAGAAAGTTATTTAATATTTCTGAGCATTAGTTTTCTCATTTTAAAAATTGGGACCTTCAGAACCAAGAGAACGCTGTACACAATAACAGCCATGCTGTGCAATGACTAACATTGATAAACTTAACCCTTCTCAGCAATATAAAGATCTAAGACATCCCCAGAGGCCTTGTGATGGAAAATGATATCCACATCCAAAGAAATAACTATAGAAGCTGAATCGCTATCATTTTTTTTCTCTTCTGTTGAGTTTTGTTTCCTCTTTCTAATGGTTCCTCCTATTGGTTTTAAATTTTTACTTACAACTTTACTAATGTGAAAATATGTTTAATAGGAATGTAAATGTGCGCTGTCTTGGGGAGGGTGGTGGGAGGAAGGGGGAGAAAAATTTTAAACTCAAAAGCATATAGAAGTGATTGTTGATAAATCAAAGTAAATTACCTCTACTAGGTCTATATCCCAAAGATGGCAAAAAAAAAAGGGGGGGGCGGGTATAGGACTTATTTGTACAAAAATATATAGCAGCTTCTTTTGTGGTGACTCAAGAACTGGAAGTTGAAGGACTGCCCATCAATTGGGGAACAGTTGAACAAGTTGTGGTATATGATTGTAATGAAATATTATTGTGCTGTAAGAAATGACTAGCAGCATTTCAGAAAAACCTGAAAAGACTTACATGAACTGATTCACAGTGAAATGAACCAGGAGAACGTTATACACAGTAATAGCAACACTGTATGATGAAGAACTCTGAATGACTTAGCTATTCAATACAATGGCCTAAGACAATCCCAAAGGACTGATGATGAAGCATACTATCTGCCTCCAGTGAAAGAACTGATATTGGTTGGATGCAGACTGAAGCATGCTATTTTTCACTTTCTTTCTTTCATCCTTTTTGAGTCTTCTTGTACAAAATGACTAATATGGAAATATTTTATATGACTGCATGTGTATAACCTACATCTCATTGCTTACCATATCAGGGAGGGAAGGATAGAATTTGGAACTCAAAACTTTTTTAAAAAACACTTGTTTTAACATGTAAATAGGGGAAAATACATATATATGTATTTATATATCCTGTAGATGTCCTGTAGAATGCTGACTCACTTCACAAGGTTGTTGTATGGCTCAAAAGCAATGACTATGAAATCGCTGTGTGTACTCTAAAGCCTTAGGTAAGGGTCAGCTATTACTACAACCATGCTGGCTTCTTAGATTGGCTTGCTTTTATGTCTTTAATTACAGGTGTCGAGCCAAGGACCAACTGAAGGTCAAATACAAGAATGATCTGCTCTTCAAATGAAGAAGGAAAACATTTTTACTGAAGAGAAATAAAAAACATAGGCTTTGTAAAAATATATCCTTTGTCTCAACAGAGAAAAGTCATAATCCTGGCTCAATCAGCACAAGGCACCAGGTACAGGGACAACTGTCTAACAATAGCTGGAGACATTAATAAATTTCCCATCTGTCTTGATCCAAGAGTCCTCCAGGCTGATAAGCCTAAGTTAAACAGGTAACATAGGAAAATAGGATAAAAGAGCTAAAAGGGGCTTTGAGAGATCAGCTGGCCCAAAGCCTCTCATTTGATAAGGGAGGAAAGAAGTGACTTGCTCATTGCCACACAGTAACTACAACTGCTGTTTTCTGTGAAGGAGCTGGGCCAGCCTGCCTTCATCCTCTTTTTTGCCCTGTTGCTGACTTTTCAACAATCATGCCTCTACTGCTATCTCACCCTAGAGCTTCCCTCAGCATCTAGGGCTTCCTCCCCTCAAACATGCTATACCCCTGTGGCCTACTCATCATGGAATATCCCTCTGCAAGGCCAGCCCTCCATTCTCCCATTAGTGAGTTGCTCCTGGAGCTTCCATTTCATGAAGGGACCAGGCCAGCCTGTTCATTCTCCTTCAATACCTATTCCTAACTTTCTGGACTTCAAAATCATGCAACCCATACCTTCACTCCTTCTCTACCCACCTCTCCCCTCCCCTCCATCCCTTTTTAGCCCCCTTTTGTGCCTTGTCTTTCCCTATTAGAATGTAAGCTCCTTGAGGGCAGGGAATTTTTTTTTTCTTTTTGCTTCTATGTGCATCCCCAGTACTTAGCACAGTGACTGGCATCTAGTAAGCACTTAATAATAAATGCTCGCCTTCTTCCTTTCAAGTCCTCTAACCTCAAATCCAGTGTTCTTTCTGATACCTGTGCTGTGCTGCCATAAGTAAAGCTCTGTGGTTAGAGGGGGTAAAGTCTTCTATGGGGCAGAATCTGCTCACAGAGACACATGAACTATCCTTTCCATCCCACTTCCCCTCTAGTTCCCTCAAACCTGAGAAGCTAGCATAGCTCTGCAAAAAGCCATTTCAAAAGCTGGAGTTCAGCCACTGAGCAGAATCACTTTCTTCCAACAAGTATGGCTCAGTGAAACAAACATTCAACCTGGACTCTTCCAATAGTCTCTTACAGGGTCTTCTCACCTCTCTTCTCTCTACTCTTTGTCGTCCAGCCTTTTCAGTCATTTCCAACTCTTCCTGATCCCATTTGGGGTTTTCTTGGCAAAGATGCTGGCATGGTTTGCCATTTCCTTCTCCAGCTCATTTGGCAGATGAGGAAACGGAGGCAAACAGGGTTAAGTGACTTGCCCAGGGTCACACAGCTAGGAAGTATCTGAAGCCAGATTCAAACTCAGAAAGATGAGTCTTCCTGACCTGAAGTGTGGTGCTCCATCCACTGCACAACCCACTGCCCCTCTCTCCTCTAATTGATGCTTTATACATTGTCAGAATAATCTTCCGAATGTGTCATGTCACTCCTCTACTCAAAACCCAGCAATGGCTCCAGATTGCCTACTGTTCAAATTCCTGGCATTCAAGGCCCACAACAAACATAGCGATACCCTAACTTTACCTTCCCAGGCTTACTGGCCATTGTGTTCCAGACAAACTGAACTACTCCTTTTCTCTGAAGATTCCTTGTATTTTTCCATTTCTGAGGCTTTGCTTATACTGTATTTCCATTCCTGGAATAACCCTGTCTTTCTGGCTCTCACTGAACGTTTACACTGATCACCTACAAGTATGCATTCCAGTAGCCAGGGTATTTTTCTTCTAATAGACTGCAAACTCCCTAATGGCAAGCTCCACATCTTAGCTTTGTGTTACCACAGTGTTCTTTACCCAACAAGCTCTTGATGTTTGCTGAATCGGGGTGGCAGCATGATTGAATGGACACGTTTGTAGCCCGAAGACCCTAGTTCAAATCTAGCCTCTTGTTATTCACTACCTAGGGGACCTTGGACCAATCAGTGACCCTCTCCGGGTTCTTGAGATCCTTGTCTGTGAAATGAGGAAGGACAGAGGAATGTGTCACTAAATTCCATAAACAAGGACAAACTTCTGTTTCCCTTGCAAGAAAACCTCAAGTGGTAAAAGACATGCTGTGACAGATGGAAGAGTAGGCAGAAAGGGAGTACAGATGTGTTCCTATTTGGGGAAAATATCTCTGCACAGAGTTACAACTCTACAGACCCAGAACACACATCTGTGAGAAAGAAAAAACAAACATCTTGTACAGCATTTCAAGGGAACCCCTAGAAGTACCCCTGGAGTTCCACAGGGGCCCTCTAGGGAGTTCTGACTTGCAAGGGTAACTTGGCCTTCACCAAGTTCCTTTGTAGTCAGGGCTGCCTGCAGGATACTAAAGAAAGAGAAGGCACAGTTTTTCCACGACCCAGGGCCTTGAAGTAGTTTTTCCCCTGCCTGTGGTCTGGACATCAACATTCAAGGTCAGGACAATGTAGAAGGGGGTCAGGACAATGCAGAATGGATGGGAATGAGAGAAAACACAAGGGCCGGGCTGCTTCTGGAAAGACAGTGAGTGTGAAAGACAGGCCTAGCCAGTTTAATGACCAGAGGGCAAATGGAGGAAGTGGTAATTTTTAAAAGGTAATGAGAAGAATGGAAGGGGGGAATGCCAAGAGACTGCAGCTCATATTCAAACAGCAAGAAAGCTCAGTCCTCCTGAATGTCCTGGTTGACATCATGCTTGTGGAGAAACACGTGGATTCTGGGCTCCTTTTCCCTGCTGCTTCTACTCTACTCTAAAAGAGGAAGTTGGAGAACACCTGGACAGAGGGGATAGGGCAGGCTTTGCTTTCACACATAACTGCAGGGTCTTTCGCTAAGAGGGACCATAGCAGGGGAAAAAAAAAAAAGACAATTCCCAAGACCTCAGAGGCTGGACATCAGCCTCCAATGTGAGGAGCTGGCTGGTTATGCACTTTTTTCCCAGTAGAGAAAGCGGAAAAGAGTATCATTTTCACCCCAACAGCTCAAGGAGCCAGACTCCTTGCCCTCTACTTGTGGTGTGTAGAATTCCCAGGCCCTCTTACAAACTGACTTTCTCAATAAGGACGAAGCAGAAAGCAGGTCATGAGTGGCCCTGAGGTGGGAGGAACTTCAAACTCAGCGAAATGGAAAATTTAAGTGAGGCTAAAGATATACTCAGTCCAGAAAAGGAAGACAGAAAAAAGGACAAAAGGAGATCTGTGTGTGTATAGTCAATAGAATTAATGCCTGAGGCAAAAGAATAATTAGCAAAGCCAAGCAGTATCACTACTTCTATTTACTCTATTCCCAAAACTAATAGCTAAATGCCTTCAATCTCCTTAGAGCCATTGACAAATGAAAGCTATTTAGAGAACCTGCCTAGGTGGTAAAATCCAAGCTTTATGAACCAACACTTTAGTCAACTGCCCTATGAAACCTAAGGAAGACTTTACCTAAAATAATTATCTTTGAATACAAAAAGTTAACCTAAGCAAAACCAAGGCTGTAGTAATCAGCTTTCCTCCTCTGGGAACACTACCCAGAATTTGTTTTGTTAATCATTAACATGCACAATTTAGCCTACAGCCTTTTATCCCCTCCAATGACATACACCAGTAACCCCTCCCCACTCCCTCCCATCTCAGGCACATCCCATTTAAGGGCTCACCCAGGCTGTTCCCCCCACACGCCTTTAAGATCCTCCTGGCTCGGTTCTTGGCATCTTCTGGGAAGCTAGGGCTGTCCAACAGGTTTGGATATGTGCAAAGAGCCACCACCTAGAAGGGGAGAAAGGTGTATGGGCCTCTTTCCCAGAACCTCAACTTGTTCCTTGACATATGATCTTAAGTCCCAAGAGACAAGCTATGGAGGGAGGGATAACTCTCTGAATACACACACACCCGTCCATGTACACTTCCACACACGCGCACGCACACACACACACACACACACACACACACACACACACACACACACACACACCCCTGGGATCTATTCCAGAGATTACAGCAGTTCACCTCTCCCTGGGACATCTGCTAGAGCCCAGCTGGTGCGGAGGGGGTAATCAAATTATAATGGCTCACATTTCTATAGCATTTTAAGGTTTTAAGATTTTTTTAAGATTTTCTCATGATTCTGAGACAGTACAGGAATTATCCATTTTTAGAGATGAGGTTGCAGGCTTGAAGCAGTTAAGTGATCCGCCAATAGCTGTACAGCTAAATACGGTGCAGAGCCAGGACTTGAACCCATACCTCCTGACCCCGAGTTCCATGTTCTCTTTCTATTCCATCTCATACTTTTTGGAGAGAAGGAATGAGAAGGGAAATGCAGACAGCCACTGAGCTCCACACACTTTCTGAATGGCCTAGAACTTAGGCAAAACGGGCGCTAAAGAGGGAGCTGAGAAGCACGGTTTCATTCTGTAATTCCTTTTATGAATAGGAGCTAGGAAACCATTCGTGGAGTTTCCTGTGCAGAAACAGGGAAGGCAGAAAGAATTACGGAATTTTTTTTTTTCTTGTGTCATGGACCCCTTGGACAATCTGGTGAAGCCTACGGAGCTCTTCTCAGAATAACTTTTTTAATGCATAAAATACATAGGCTTATAAAAGAAACCTATTGTATTAAAATAAGTAAATATTTAATTTTTTTTTTAAAGTTCACAGAGCTCCAGTTAAGAAGCCCTGCCTGAGTTAGGGGCTCAAACTGCACGTTTTCATGAAAGGTGAAATCAAGAAGCATAAGGCACTGGATGGAGGTGGACCAAAGCTAATTAACATCTTTCACAGAAGATGTCCCCCTTCTGCCTTCAGAATCTAAGGCTCCTCTTCCTTTTGCCCTGCTCACTCTTACTGTCCTCCTAACCACAGCTTTCCAAGTTGGAAGACACGTAGCCAGAAGGAGCAGCATTCAGCAATGAGTTGCCAGATGAAAAAAGCTGAAACAAGACCAATCTGTGTCCTGCAGCTTTCCAGGCTACTGGGTACACCGGGTAGATGTGCAGAGAGGGTCTATCTGAGGCAGAACCATTTCAAATCCCCTCAAGCTAAGTTTCAGTCCACTTAATGAACGCTTTGACTTTTTTTTCCACCCTCTACTTCTCATTCCCACCCTCCCTGGCCCCCCACTTTGTCTGTTTCTTCCAAGAAATCTTATTTAATGATTTGACATGCCCTGGGACTCAAATCAGGGATTTTTCTGATTTCAGCAGCTTGCCCCAGCAAAAGTGAGGCCAGTCCCTGTTTGAAAAGGTCAGCAGAATAGTCTGCTAAGGTATGTGGGGAAGAGGGTATATAGACAAAAAACTTCTCCGTCCCTCAGTCGCTTTTCATCTCCAGACCACCCCTTACCCACTCCCACAGGGCCTACAACATGACCGGGCAACAGCTGATTAAGAGTCGTCAGAGTCAAGCTCCCTTTTTTAGGACAAGGAAACTATTTTTCTCCTGTAACACATATACCCTCTGCGATGCTGCAGACAAGACTCAGGAAACCTAGGTTCAAATCATAGTTCTAACACTTCCGGAGGGACCCTGGGGGAGTTGTTTTGTCCAAGTGACCATTTCCTCTCAATGGGGACAATAATGACATTTGCATGGATTCATCTCACAGGGTTGTATGGAAAAGCACTTCCTAAACCTCCAAGCACTACAGAAATGTAAGCTCTTTATTGTTATTATTATTATTGTTGTTGTTGTCGCTGCTGCTGTTATTAACTCAAGCCCAAGCTAGTCACTCACCTACAAGCCTAGGGTAAATAAAAACAGTGGTTGCCCAGAGAGGAGGAAAAAGGAACAGTGAAGTCACTTGTTCTCAATGCCAAGACTCCCTCGGTGGGGGAAGCCAGGCAGGCTGTGGAAAAGGGCATGTGGGGGCAGGTCAGTTTTCTATACTTGTTTACAAGGCTGTCCTGGTCTCACGAACTGTCCATTTGAAAAAAGAAAAATAGTGACTATGCTGTTATGCTAAACAAAAGCAGGTCTTGGGGCACCTTTCTGGCTGTATTTTATAGGGCAAAATGAAAAGACTCCCAGTGAGGACTGAGGGCTCCCTGGGGACTCCTCCAGATCCTGCTTAGGCCAGGTGTATTCAGAGACAGATAACCCCTCCCAACAGCAGAACCCAGCAGGGCTTAATGGAGCACTGGAAAGAGCTCCTTTAGAGAGAATATTTAAAACAAAGCAATCCCCCAGACTGTTTCTTCCTCTTGCTCTTTTAGCATACATGGTGTTCTGATTATCTGTATGCCTGCTTACAGAACCACAAAGAGACTAGTCTTAACTGCTACCTCCTCAGAGAGTTCCAGAGCTCTGTTTCTATCTGTGCATCTCTGTCCCCTGCCCCCCCCACCAGGGTTATAAGAACTGCCTCCACATGCCCCTCAGATCGCCTTTCCTCCTATGACCCTCTTCTCCATGACCTTGGTAGTGCTGAACATGGACCTCTAAGGCACTACACAGGAATCCCTGGAAATGTCAGATTCCTATCCCTGTATCTCCAAATCTGAGAGGCAGAAGGAACCTCAGGGGTTTTCTAGTCCTCCCTGTATTCAGAGAGAGGATCCTTTTTACGAGACCCCTGAGAAGTGAGCATCAAGGCCCCTGATGAGACTTAACTCATTACCTCCTGGGGCAGCAGATTCCACTCTTGGACAGTTCTAATTGTCTGGAAGTGTTCCTCACACTGAACTTAAAACTGCCTCTTTGCAACTTCCAGGTTTCTTGATCTACCCTTTAGAACCAAGGCAGACAAAAAGTCTAATCCCTCTCCTGCTGAGAGCCTTCTAAATACCTGAAGGCTACAATCGTGGCCCCTACCACTGTTACCACCACACCAAGGGAAACAAGAGTGGTACTGTGGAAAGGGTGATGGATGTGGATGCAGTCAGGATCAAATCTTGACTGCCACTTATGTGTGTGGCCTTCAGCAAGTCCCCCAAACTCTACTGGGACTGTCAAATGACAGGGTGGTGTGACAAGACCTCCAATAGCCCTCCAGCTCTAGATCCGTGATCTTGAATCTCCTCCAGTCTAAACAACCAAGCCCTATAAGCATCAGACTTGTTTCCTCCACGAAATCTTATTTAAAGATCTGCCACATCCTAGGGATTACTGCAATTTCAGCAGATGATTCCAGCAACAGTGAGGTTGAGCCCCTGCTTGCAAAGGCCAGCAGAACTATCAGAGAGGGTCAGTGGGGCTGGGTGGTGAGCAAGGGGAAGGAGATGGAGGTTATAGAGCAAGAGCAGAATGTTGGAAATTGGAGATGAAGGCTCCCATTAGGCAGATGATGCAAGCAAGTTCAAAAGCACATCTATCACAGCAGTTGGGGCCTGCTGCTTCCCAGGAAGAAAGGAGCTGAGTGGTCACAGACTACACAGCATGCTAGAGGCTGGGTTTTTTGTTTTGTTTTTTGGTTTGTTTGTTTGTTTTTCCCCACAAGCCCATTCCCATGTAAACTAAACAACATTACTTTTCTCTTACCCCATCAGAAACAGCTTATGCCTGAGCCCTTACCTGTCGGAGGAAGGTGATTGGCTGCTGGCCCATTGCGTGGGCATCACCAATGTTGGCTTTTATGACTTCTGTGAAAGGTTTTTTGATACCCTAAGGAGAGAACACAATGCACTGGCAGGTTATTTATAGGATAGAGGCAGTGTTTTACAACACAAAGAACAATGACTCTGGAGTAGGAGGTCCTAGGTCCAAATCCCACCCAAAACTTAGTATCTGTGTGATGGTTGGCAAAATACTTAACACCCCCGGACCTCAGTCCTCATCTGTAAAATGAAGGGGCTGGACTCGGCAGCTTCTGAGGTCTCTATCTATGATCCTATGGGTAGGCAGAGCCCAGATTTTAAAGAAAATTTTATTTTCTCTCTCCCACCCTTATTGAGAAGGAAAGAAAAACAAGACCCCTGTTACTAACATGTATAGTTAAACTAAGCTAATTTCTGCATTAACCATGTCCAGAAAAAGTATCATTTGGTACTCTGAGTCCTTCACCTCTCCAACAAGGAGGGATTGCTTGTTTTCTCGATAGTCCTCTGGAATTGTGGATGGTCATTACATTGATCAGAATTCTCAATTCTTGGGGCAACTAGGTGGCTCAGTGGATAGAGCACCGGCCCTGAGTTCAAGTCCAGCCTCAGACAAAACACTTGACACTTACTAGCTGTGTGACCCTAGGCAAGTCACTTAACTCTACTGCCTAGCCAAAAAAAAAATCCCAATTCCTTCAAAGCTGTTTGTCTTTACCATATTGTTGTCATTGTATAAGACGTTCTGGTTCAGTTCACTCTACCCTGCATCTATTCAAATAAGTCTTCCCAAGTTTCTCCAAAACCAATCCCCTTCATCGCTTATTACAGTACAATGGGTGTTCCATTACATTTATGTACCATCACTTGTTTAGCCATTCCCCAATTGATAGGTACCTAGGGCTCAGATTTAGAAAGACTAATGCTGAATGGCATTCTCACAAGAGACCCATGCTCCTGAAAGGCTACAATAATAGCTTTGTAAAGGATATAATCACTTCTCAGAGTACCCAGAAGCAACCAAGGTATACTTGATTTGAAAGTTCCTGAGGTTTCTGACTCCCCCCAGAGAAACACTCTCACAGCAAAGAGGAATTAGGAGAAGACACACAGGGAACAGAGGAGGATCAGGTCACACGTGCCCCCTGGAGACATTTACTCTCATTGGAAGTCTATCAGTGAAGGTAGCTTCATCTTTGCCTCCAGAACAAATAGCTGGGATTCTTCAGACTGCTCTCCTCCCACCCCCTCAAGAGGCAGATGTAACTACACAGGCCCCAAAGAAAACACCAGCAGTGGAAGCTTCTTTTCCCAACTTGGCTAAAGGAAAATGTATGTAATCCTCCACTAACTTGGAAGAATGGTCATATGGCGGGGGGAGGGCTATTGAAAGAGGGAGGGGGCATTCAGCAGAAAAGGCTCTTGAAATGCCAAGGAGGGGAGAAGGGAAAAAAAGGTTTTATTGAAAGCTTATGATTCTAACTCAAGCCCAGGGTTACACAAACAGTGTACAGTTATCCCTTCCACATAGAGGGGGTCAGAGACATGGTGCCCCCACACTCTAGAAAATCTACATAAAATTTTTTGGTCCTCCCTTTGTACCACAGAAGTCTGAATTATTTTGGTATTAAAAGATAAAATATGTTGATATTATATAATACTATACAACATATATTTTATGTATTTCTGAATTTCTAACTTTTCCTGTGTCATCTGCTGGCCTTCATGTGTCATTTGCAGCTTCCACAAAAGTCCCCCAAAATTACCATTTAATTTCTTATGCCAATCCACAATATATCAAAACCTGGATCGGGAAAGGTCACAATATGGAAAGGATAACTGTATAACAAAAGCAGAACTGGAACCCAAGTCAGTTATTAACACTGACAAATCACCTCTCTATTATCAGAAGGAGATGCACACCATTATTAATATTGCAATAGAGAGCCCTGAGGTCATCACTGGGAAACATAAGTTAGATAAGGCACAGTCTCTTAGCATGAGATAAGACAGCACAGATAAAGGTGGAACGATATGGTGGGAAGAACACTGGCCTAGGTCCAAATTCCAACTCAGTTACTTACTAGCTACCTTAAGCAAGTTACTTATTTTTTTACAGGTCTTCCTTGGTTTTCTCATATCTAAAATGAAGAGTCTGAAGTAGCTGGTCCATAAGGTCTTTTCCAGCTCTTATCGCTATGGCCCAATGCTGCATAAAGGAGGTGTTTTCAGTGATCACCTCTGTGCTTTAGGTAACTATCAGATCTATGTGTTCAGCCCTGACCTCTAGGCTCACATCCCCAGCTGCCAATTAGACTTCTTGAACTGGTGTCCCACAGACATCTGAAACTCAACTCATCATCTTTTCTCCCAAACCCTGACATCTTCGTAACTTCTCCATTACTGTCATCAAAGGCACTACCACCCTCCCAATCACCAAGGCTGCCAACCTGGGTGTCACGCTCAACCCTTCACTCCCTCATTTTCTACACCCAATCAGTTATCAAGTCTCAGTTGTTTCTCCTTTTGAAAGGTCTCATACAGACCCCTTCTTTCTTGATACCTCTACCACCCTGGTACAGGTCTTTGTCACCTCACACCTGGACCACTGAAACAGCCTCCTTATTGATCCCAACCATCTCCACTCCCCCAATCCATCCTCTATTCACCTATCAAGATGATCTTCCTAAAGAAAAAGTCTGAGGGCAGCTAGGTGGTGCAGTAGATAGAGCACCAGCCCTGAAGTCAGGAGGACCTGAGTTCAAATCTGGCCTCAGACCAAACACTTGACACTTACTAGCTGTGTGACCCTGGACAAGTCACTTAACCCCAATTGCCTAATAAAAAATAAGAAACAAAATAAATAAATAAAAAAGAAGTCTGACTGTCATCCCCCTAGTCAATCAAGATCAGTGGCTCCCTATTCTCCCCAGGATCAGATATAAGACATTGTTTGGCTTCTAAAGCCCTCCATAATCCTGCTCCTTCCTACCTTCCTGGCTTCTTATATCTTTCCCATGTGTACTTCGCAATCCAGTAACAGCAGCCTCTTTGCTGATCCTCAACAAGACCCTCCATTACTTCATCTCCATCTCCTGGTTGTCTCCCCCAGGCCTAGAACTCTCTCATTTGTCTCCTCGCTATAAATTTGTATTACATATTGTGTATGTACACACACACACACACACACACACACACACACATTATATAATTTGTATTATATGTCTCCTAAGCTATAAAGTCCCATCTTCTACAAGAAGTGTTCATAGTTCCTGGCACATAGCAAGTGCTTAAGATATGCTAGCTGACTGATAAGATAACCCTTCAATCCCCTTCCCTCCAAAGCTCCAAAAAAGAACATCACTAATAGCATAGACACAAATCTAGTGCATCATAAAAAAACCAGGTACCCTCCACTAGAAAATGGCAGAAGGAGGGTCACTCCTTGGTTCTCAGATCCCTTGTCTCACTCCAGTAGAAGGCTACAAACCTGAGACCTCCTTCTTTCTGTTTTGGGTCAGCTCACAGAAGGAGAAAAGTTACATTTGCTTCAGGGTCCCCAGAAATCACTTGGGGAAGACCCCCACCACCACCAAAGGATTTCCTTTAAGGGATCTCAGAGTGACATGGAAGCCAAACACATCTATCTTCCGAGAGCTGGAAGGAGAGATTGGCAGGAGAGATGCCTAATAATCCAGGCCACGTCTCCCTCGTCCCAAGCCCAGCCTGTGGGGAGGTGGGGGAGGGGTGGCAGCTATGAAAGAGAGCCAGACACATGGGAATTGAGTCCAGTCTCATGGAGATGTTTAGGAACCAGAAGAGAGAGATACTAAGAGAAAGGGGCAGGGGAGTGAAGCGAGGGAGATAAACTGAGAAGAGGACAAATCAGCAGACTCTCCAGGGAACTTGTTCCAAAACTACGTGGTCAAGGGGCCGGCCCTGAGAAAGAAGCCTAAACCCACAGTCCCATAGCACCTTGGAAACCAGCCTGGCTTGCTGGCACAAAGATCTCTCTGTCAGCCTGGCCCACTCCCATGGGCTCCCCCGGCACAACCAACTGAATGAAATTTCCATGGCTCCAAATTAATATATGCACTGGAAGGAAGCAAACCTGTCACTGGCATGACAGCAAGCAACCAAAACACAGCTGTACAACTTCACTGCAGGCCCATTATCCTGCATAAGAATAACACTTGGGAACAACCCCACCCCCCTGCCCCTAGCCCTCTTCCCCTGGCCAACTTCTTCACTCTCTGTTTCACCCAATGGATTCAAAGCTTGCTTTGTAGGGGGCTTGGGAATGTTGAATTTCTCTTTTCTGTGTGTCCTTGAGACAGCCCAATGATAGATGGTTTTCGGAGCAGGGAAGTCAGCCACAGAACCTTCCCCCCAACATCTCCCCTCCAAAGCATAGCTATTTCATTTCAAATAGCTATTTGAGTCCTTTTGAGGGGGGAGAGGTACACCAGGCTGCCTAGCTACTGAGGCAGGGGCCAAGACACAGAGATGCAAATATGAGGTTTGGTTTTCCAACAAGGGAAGGGATGCTTTCCCTGGTAAACCCCTGGGGATCTGGCAGCCATGGGAAGAAACAATCTATTAACATACCCCCACCCCCAAATACTTGTGTCTACCTATGCTGGCATATGAAGATCAAGTCCTCAAAGGTAGACTACAACCCCTAATTATATACATCTTACCCCAGATATTTGGGAGACAATTACCCTTCTCCAATGCCCCACACCCAGCCTGGTCTAAATCTATCCACAGCACTCACCAGGTAGCCCTCCCCTTCACCAACTTAGAGCAGTAAAGCCACAGATATTTACAGGGCTGGGAGGATCCCTCCTTGCTGTAATCCTACCCCACCTCCACCCCCCACCCCACTCTCCAATCTAATCTCCCTCTGCTTAACTAATATCCTATCAGGTTAGGGGTGGAGCACTCGCCATATATACAAGTGCGTCTCTCTCAGCCCCACCAAGATGATCCAGCAGCAGAGTCAGCAAGGAAAATTCTTAAGACTTCTTAAGGAAGTTAAACTCTCTTCCATTTCTACCTCCTAAC